TTCCCCTTTTAAGTGTCTTGATTGAACCTGTCTCCACCATGGTCTCAGGCAGTGCATTCCAGACCCTAACTTCTTATATCACCCTTGTTTGATTTGCTAAATCACTTGAATCTGGGCCATCTGTTTCTTGATACTTCGACCAGTCTGATGGTGGTTGATCAATAAATGTTGGCTGGGTGACAGTGATACTGGGACTTGAGCTCACAACCTTCTGACACAAAACTTGGAGAGTTACCAGATGATATCACTCTCAACCTCTCAACCATTTCTGGTTCGGCTGGTGGGAGAAAAGGGATGTGTGGGGAATCTTGAATCTCAAGCCTGTCTTGAACGAAAGCCACACGTGGTCTCTGCTTTGACTCTCCCCTTTACTTGAGTAGGCCCCATCAGCTGGTTGGCTTACATATGGGCACTGGCTGCCCTCTCATATGTCAGCCGAGTGGTCGTTCTCGGCATGATTACGGTCTCCTTATCTACCCAGGCTGTTTGCAATCTCATGCCCTACACATTAATGGATCTCTGGATACAGATGACCAGCAGTGCTCTAGAGCACTGAGGTCAACTGCTACCCTCCTCAGACTCACTCTGCCCAGACTAGTGATTGGCCACCTCATCTAGTGGCTGTAGTGGGCAGCCCGTTAACCTGCCTTTAAGGCCAAGACTGAGGTAATCAATTGTTGGTTCCAGATAGAGCAGGCTTCACTTGGTCCTGAACCACACTGCCCCTGACTAGGCTATGCACAGGATAAGACTGAGGGCAGGAGGGCGAAAGTGAGTAAAGTCCCATCTTCCTAACGCTTAACTTAGTGTTCATGAAGCTGAAGGAGGTTCAGAGAATGTGGAGTAAGGGGAACAAGTTGCAGAATGGATAACAAACTGACAGGGAAATTGTGATTACTCGAGTGGCAGAAAGTAAGGGAAAGTGCTCCACATGGATCGTCGCTACAATTGCAGCTGTTCACCATTTTCATTCGTGTCTGGGTCTCTGGAATCGGCAGGGCAGCATCAACGTTTTCCAGATGCACCAAGTTTCTGGGCAGGGTAATTAATGCAGAGAACTGTGTAAGGATGGTTAACAACTTGCAGGATGAGCTATGTCATTGGCAAATTAATTTCAAGAGTGACAAATGTGAGGAGCCGTATCTTTGGTTGAAGCAATGGAAAGCCGCATTTCTTGAAAAATGTAGTGGAAGAACAGAGGAAATCCGGGGAATATGTCCGCATACATCACTCAAAACAGTACAGCTTAATTATAATTTACCGGGGTAGAATTGAAAAGCAGAACAGTTACGTTAAACCTGTATCAAATGTTGGTTATCCCAGGGCTTCCTTGGATTTGCATTTTGAAGTATGAGAGGGCTGGAGAAAGTGTGGAAAAAGCTTTACTAGATTAATACCAGAGCTAAGAGATCATACTGAGAGGAAAGATTGATCAGGCTGGGATTGTGTGCCCTCGGAAGAAGTCTGAGGGCTGAAATGTTAGAATCCTTCAAGATTATGAAGGTTTTGGTTTGGGTGGATATCAGGAGGCATTCTACTTTTTGGAGGAGACCAGAACTATCGGCACTAATTTTAAGATAGTCACAAATAACTAACAAATAGTGATGGTAATATCACTGGGCTGATAATCCAGGGGGACACCGTAGGGTGTTGCGTTCGAGTCTCACCATGGCAGCTGCTCAAATTTAAGTTCAGTTAAAATATCTGGAACTATAAAGCTAGTTTCAGTAATGACCACTGTGTAAGAGATATTCTATTCAACCTATTCAGAGATGTTTTTACGTACCTGTCAGCTATTACATAGAGCATTATGGAACAGTATAGTGCAGGAACAGGCCCTACGGCCCATCATGTCTGTGCTGACCAAGATGCCATTCTAAACTAATCCCATCTGTTTGCACATGGTCTGTATTCCTCGATTCCCTGCCTGTAAATGTGTCGATCTATGCCTCTTAAATGCTGCTATCGTATCTGCTTCCGCTACCTCCCCTGTCAGTGTGTTCCAGGCACCCACCATCCTCTGTATTTAAAAAAAATCTGCCTTCCATATCATCTTTAAGCTATTTCCCTCTGACCTTAAACCTGTGCCCCTTGGTATTTGACATTTCCACCCGATCCATGCCTCCCATAATTTTATATACCTCAACCAGGTCGCCCCCTCATTCTCTGACAATCCAGCAAAAACAGTCCAAAGTTTGTCCAACCTCTTCTTATAGCCAATACATTCCAATGCAGGGAACATCCTGGTAAACCTCTTTTGCACTCCCTCCGAAGCCTCCACGTTGCTCCTGTAGTGTGACAAGCGGAACTGAACACAATACTCCAAATGTGGCCTAACTAAAGTTTTATACAGCCGCAAATATGACTTGCCAACTTTTATACTCCATGCCCTGACTGATGAAGGCAAGCATGCCATACACATTTCTTACCACTTTATCCACTTGTATTACCATTTAGAGGGAGCTAAGGACTTTCACCCCAACACCCCTCTGTATATCAAAGCTCCTCTGGGTTCTCCCATTTACTGTATACTTTTCTCTTGCATTTGACCTCCCAAAATGCATCGTCTCACACTTGTCTGGATTAAACTCCATCTGCTATTTGTCTGCTCAACTTTCCCACTATATCCTGCTGTACCCTTTGACAATCTTCCTTGCTATCCATGTTTTCATGTCATCTGTCAACTTAATGCAGGTAATCTAGTTTTTTTTTCATCCAAATTATTTATATGTCTGAGGAGTGGCAGGTGAAGTTTAATTTAGATAAATGTGAGGTGATGCATTTTGGAAAGGCAAATCGGGGCAGGACTTATACACTTAATGGTAAGGTCCTGGGGAGTTTTGCTGAATAAGGAGACCTTGGAGTGCCGGTTCATAATTCCTTGGAAGTGGAGTTGCAGGTAGATGGATAGTGAACAAGGCATTTGATATGCTTGCCTTTATTGGTCAGTGCATCGAGTATAGGAGTTGCAAGGTCATGTTGCAACTGTACAAGACATTGGTTAGGCCACTTTTGGAATACTGCATGCAATTCTGGTCTCCCTTCTACAGGAAGGATGTTGTGAAACTTGAAAGGGTTCAGAAAAGATTTACAAGGATGGCGCTGGGCTGGAGGTTTTTGAGCTATAGGGAGAAGCTGAATAGCCTGGGGCTATTTTCCCTGGAGCATGGACACTGAGACGTCTATAAAATCATGAGAGGCGTGGATAGGGTGAATAGTCAAGGTCTTTCCCCACAGTAGGGGAGTCCAAAACTAGAAGGCATAGGTTTAAGGTGAGAGGGGAAGGATTAAAAAGGGACCTAAGGGGCAACTTTTTCATGCAGAGGGTAGTGTGTATTTGGAATGAGCTACCAGAAGAAGTGATGGGGGTTGGTACAATTATAACATTTAAAAGGCATCTGGTAGGTATATGAATAGGAAGTATTTAGAGGGATATGGGCCAAATGAGGGCCAATGGGACTAGATTTTTTTAGATATCTGGTCGGCATGGACGATTTGGACAGAAGGGCCTGTTTCCATGCTGTACATCTCTATAGCTCGATATTACAAACAATGCAGTTCCCAGCACTGATCCTTACAGAACACCATTGGGCACAGACCTCCAGTCAGAAAAAACACCCCTCCCCAACTACCTTTTTATCTTGAATGACTAAACTTATTTTGTATGTAACTTAACAACTCACCAAAGTTCCTATATGACTTAATCTTTTGAATCAGCCTACCATGTCAAAGCTTCGGTTAAGTCCATGCAGACAGCATCTGTGCCCTACCGCATCAGTCATTTCCGTCACTTCTCAAAAAGCTTAATCACATTTGTGAGACAAGACCTCCCCCGCATAAAGCCATGCTGACTATCGCTATTAAGTCCATTCTTTTACAAGTCTGAGTAAATCTTGTCCCTCAGAACTTTCTCCAATAATTTTCCTATCACTGATGTAAGGCTCACGGGCCTTTAATTTCCAGGATTATCCCTGCTGCCCTTCTTAAAGAAGCAACATTGTCTATTCTCCAGTCTTCTGGGACCTTGCCTTGGAATAAAAAAAAATACACAGATCTCTGTCAGGACCCCAAGCAATCTGCTCCCTTGCCTCCCTCAGTATCCTGGCATAGATCCTGTCAGGCCTTGCTGGCTTATCTACTTTAATGTTTTTCAAGACACACATAACCACCACCTTTTTGGTATTGACATGCTCTAGAATATCAACATACTCCTCCTAATCTTATCATCATTCGTGTTGTTCACCTTGATGAATAACCGGTGCAAAATATTCATTAAGGACCTCACCCACTTGCTCTGGCTGCACTCCCTCCTTTGCCCTTGAGTGGATTTAACCTTTCCCTAGCCACCCTCTTGCTCCTAATATATGTATAAAATGCCTTGGGATTCTCCTTCAGTTCTACTTGCCAAGTTCTTTCCAGTTTCCTTTATATTCTTCAAGGGCCAGGGTACGTTCTGAACCAAGACTTCTTGGTCTGGGTGGAACCGATTCAGTGATTGTGAATTATCGCAGAAACCTGTCAGGTACCTAATGGCTTTTGGGGAAGGAAGTCTGCTGTCTTTATCTGGTCTACATCTTGGTCTGAATCCAGACCCACAGCATCATGGTTGACTGTTAACTGCCGTTTGAAATGACTTCACAAGCCGCTCTGTTCAAAAGAGCAATTAGGTATAGACAGAAAACGCTGGCTTTTCCAGTGACACCCACAACCCAGGAAAGAATAAAGGAAAATGAAAATTCCAGTAATGAATTCAAAAGAAACGTCTTTACCCAAAGAGTGGTTGGAATGTAGGTGCTTGCTACCACCGGTGTAGTTGAAGCAAATAGCACAGAAAGGTATAATTGGAAGTTAGATAAATACGAGGGAGAGAGGAATAGAAGGATATGTTCATGCAGTTGGATGAGGTTGTTGTGTGGAACGTAAACACTAGCCTCCATGAGTTAGGCTGAATGACCTGTTACTGTGCAGTACAATCAATATAAATTGTGTTTTCTGTTCAGGCAGCAGATACTCTGGCCGTGCGACAGAAGCGGCGGATATATGACATCACCAACGTCCTGGAGGGAATCGGGCTTATCGAGAAGAAATCAAAAAACAGCATTCAGTGGAAGTGAGTGTGTCAGAGAAACCGAGGGACTGGGCAAGCATTTAATAATACCACCCTGTTCTGTCCACTTCTTCATCCCTAATCTTCTTGCACCATTTCCTCTGCCCTCCTGTCTCGCCACCATGCAGGTCTAGAGTATTGATTTCCTCGGGGCTTCATGATTTTACATTTTCCTCTTCAATTAGGAGGGTGACCTCACCTCCCTTTAACGATTTTCTACTTTCTGAACAAATGACCGGGGAGAAGAGGGCTTGGTGCTATTTCTGTTGCTTGGCTCTTCCTTCATCACTCGCAGTGTTTAGTGTTGACCATGGTTCATTACCCGGAGCCTGGTACCCCTCTTAGCCCCAGAGTGACTTTTTAAAAAGCAAGAATGACAACCCTCTGGCACCTCAAATTACTCCCATTATTCTCCAATGTGACAGGAGTGATTTTTTTTAACAGCTTGTAGGTGTGTTAAGGGGCCAGCGTTACTTTTCGAATTGTGAATTTGTTTATAATAAAGTGAGCAGAGCAACATATGTAAGACTAAATTTGCTGGATCACTGGGATCCAGTAAGTAGGACTAAAGTGGTGAACCGTACGTAGATATGAGTTAGAAGTCGGAGTGGGCCATTTGGCCCCATGAGCTTGATCCACTGTTCAGTAAGATCATAGCTGATCTGATTATAGCATTAATTTCACTTTCCTGTCTACCAATAACCTTTGACTCCCTTGTCAATCAGGATTTATCAAACTTAGCTTTTAAAATGTCCTGTCTCGCTGTCCTGAGCAAGAAAGTTACTCATGCCCCTCTTGAGAGAAAGCATCTCTCTTAAATGGAAAATGCCTAATTTTTAAAGCGTGCCCCTTAGTTCTCATCCTACTCAACATTTTTCTCACTGCATGACTTTTTTTTTTCCCTTATTCTCCGAAATCAGCCATGTGAATGTTCTCTGAACTGCTTCTGATATAATTACATAACATCATTAACGAGGGCATCAAAACTGTACACAGTACTTCAGATGTGGTTGCTTCCCTTTTCAATAAAAGCCAATGTTCCAAATGCTTTCCCAATCATTTGTATCTGCATACTCAAATAAAATAAAATACTGCAAATACTGAAAATCTGAAACAAAGACTGAGAATGCTGGAGAAGTTCATCTGGTTCTGAAGAAGTCATACTGGACTCCAAATGTTAACTCTGCTTTCTCTCCACAGATGTTGCCAGACCTGCTGAGTTTCTCCAGCATTCCCTGTGTCCTGATAGCAACTTTACGTTTCCTGTCCTGTTTAACTCCACTTCAGAACCTTCGAGCTTCTTCAACATTGTCAGTGTTTGTGTCTGCATATTAACATGTTGTGATTTACAGGGCACCCCAATTCCTGTGTATCCCTGAGTTCTGTAGTCACTTTCCATTTAAATAATGTACTACTTTTCTATGCTTTTGTGAATGTGGACAAACTCCCACTTCTCCACATTACACTCCATCTGCCAAATTTTTGACTGCTCAGTTAACCTATCTATGGTCCTTTGCAGACTCCTTGTATCCTTCTCATAAGATATTCTCTTGCCTGTCTGTCATCAGCAAAGATAGCAAATATGCATTTGGTCACTTTGTCCATGTCATCGATATATATTGTAAATAGTTACGGACAAAGTTCTGATTCCTGTGGCAGTCTACTAATTACAGCATGCCAACTTCAAAATGATGCACCTGTCCTTCATCTTTCCTTCTCTTAGCTAAATAATCCTTAGTCCATGCTAATCTATTAGCTCCTGTACCATGACGTCTTATTTTGTGCAGTAACCTCTGATGTGGCACTTTCACTGCTGCCTTTTAAAAATCCAAGTACACGACATATACTCTTTACGCATAACGCTTATTATCTCTTTAAAAAGTTTTAATGAACTGGTTAACGACAGTTTTCCTTTTGCAAGGGTAAATAAACTGACACAAATGTTGAGCATCAAGATGCAAAGACTTTCTCTCCTAACCAGTTAAACAGGTCCGTTAGGGACATACTGAATATTAACTGCAGCCATGAGCTGACTATTTGACTTTGTAAGTTGGCGCAAGCTGTGTCTGTGTCCAGGTGCTGCTGCAGTCCGGGGCATGTGGTGCTGTTAGGTGGGAGTTTCGGGTTTTTGACCGAATGATGATGTATGAGTGGTAATGTATTTCCAAGTCAGGATGGTGAGTGACTTGGAGGGGAACTTGGAGGTGACGGTATTGTCATGCATCTGCAGCCCTTGCTGTTTTAGCTGGTAGAATTTGCGGGTTTGGAAGGTGTTTTTGAAGGAGCCTTTATGAGTTGCCACAGAGCATTTTGTACACATGACTTCTACTGAGTGCAAGTGGTGAAGGGAGTGAATATTGAAAGTGGTGAATGGATTCCAATCAAGTGGGCTGTTTTGTCCTGGATGGTGTCAATCTGCTTGAGTGGTGTTGGAGCTGCACTCATCCAGGCAAGTGGAGAGTATCCCATCAAATTCCTGCCTTGTGCCTTGTAGATGGTGTTTGGGTGAGGGGGTGTTACAGTTTGAAAGGATTTGTTTTCAGTGGATTGTGGATTTCCCTAATTCCATTATGTCTGTTCTCCATGTCGGGGTGGAGCCAGGAAGGTGGAGCTACCATCTGGTTGTTTAAGATCTGAGCTGTTATTGGGGCAAAGAATAGCAGAAAGGTTGCAGGTTGAGTTGAGGTTTTCAATATTAGCTATGGTCACTACTCCATTGCTCTGTCTCTTGGACTAACCTTGAGTTTGGTAGTTGTAAGTATGTGTTCCCAGTACAATGATGCCATATTCAGCATGGTTCCCTCCCAGAGGGCAATTGAGAGTCACCCACATTCCTGTGGGTCTGGAGTCTGTAGCTCAGGCCAGGAAAGTACAGGAGTTTCCTTCCCTAAAGGACATTAGCTGTGTTTAATCTTCACTATCCTTGTCTCTTGCATTTGTATCACTGATTGGCCAATTCCCTCACCAAGATGGAATCTGTGGCTTTCAGAATACCGATTCCTGCCAACATCTGATCTTTAGGGGAATTTCTCAGCCCAGTGTAAACGGTCTTGGGGCTTGGTTATGAACTGCTGCCTTACAGGACAGCTATTGGCTCCATAACGTCCTCTGAAACTCCGTATCATTGCTGTCTCAGGTGTCTACCTCTGTTTGGCATGGAGACCTGTCTTTTTCCACAGACTGGCTCTGTCCTTTGACATGTAGCGTGATTGGTTCCAATTGTGAAGGAGAGAAGGAAGCTTCTACCTACACCTGGCTGTCTCCTTCACTGTGCACTGAGGCAGGGCTGGAATCTGTCACTGAATACCACTTGGTTCAGAACATCTGCCTTTCTTGGGGTTAGAGTATTTGAGTGGGGAATATTCAGTCCCTGTACCTTTTTTCCAGTCGGTGAGAGATGTAACGTCCAGTCAGAAGTGAAGTGGACAAACTTCACTCTCCATTTTCTGTTGTTGTCTATCAGCCATGGTTATTGCCCATTTTTCATGAAACTGGATCCCAATTTGGAGGATAATCCCACTGAAGAATTAAGAATGGTTACAGCACAGAAAGAGACCATCCAACCCATCATGTCAATGCTGACTCTGTGCAAGAACACCATGGCCCTTTCCCTGTACCCGACAAGCTTTTTTTACCCCCTTCACCTAATTATGAATACCCTCTTGAGAGGCACAGTGGAGTCTCTGTCCACCACATTATGGTCAAGTGGTTGAGTTTTTGTATAAATATTGATAGGAGGAGGAGAGATGGAGATGGTTCCATCCCATTTGATGGCAGCATGCCTGATCTGTGACCTAAAACCATCTACCCATCTTTACCCCATTCCTTTCCATATCTTGGGTTAAGAACAATCTGTAATCTTTGATTTTTGAAGTGAACAATTGATCAAGTATCATTATGATTTGCAGAGGAGAATTCCAAACTTCTTTCTTCTTGTGCAAACACGGTGGTAAAATTATTTCCTAATTTTACTCCTGAAAGGCCTGACTCTAATTTTTTGACTCTGGCTCTAATTTCTGGGTGCTGCCTCTTAATCGTAGGCTCCTCAGCCAGTGGAAGTAGTTGCCAACTACCTACACTATCTGTTGCCTTTAATATTTTGAAAACTTTGAGCAAACCGCCCTTTAAATTCCAGGAATAAAACCCTACTTTGTGTAATCTCTCCTCTTGGTATAATTCAATTATCATTCTGAAAAGTCGACACTGCACTCTTTCCAACAATCCTGCATTATATGTGACACTCTTGCTGAACGAGCTGTTTCTCAGTCTCCCTCCTCTCTCTTTCTCCTCCCCGACCCCAGTGAAAAAGTAAAACCTCGAGCCCCATAGAGGGAAGTTTGGATATAAATGAGAACAAGGTCACTGTGACATTTAATACAGTTTTAATTATGTTTAACTTCATTTTTTTTCCTTCCAATACTGTCTTACCTTTCTGTGCAGTCTTGACACCAGATGGGCACTCTAGAAATGATGGTATTTGTTTAATCAGAATATTGTGTCCATTTGGTTTCTCTTCCACAGGATGCCAAGGCAAATTGCCATCTCTGCTTTCTTCCTGAGGAAGAGTGTTAGACTTGTCCTTTTTGGGAGGAGGCGGTGATGTTTAGTGGATATTCTGAGATGGAATGGTGGACCAAGAAGTATATGGTGGATATCTGGGAGTTTCACTCCACGTCTGCTTGTTCTAAGCTGGTGTAGGGTTGGCTGGATCTGCCTGTCAGTTATGCCCATGCTTACAGTTTGGCCCTCAGTGAGTAACTGTGTGAGTCCAGACAGTACTAGTTGGGTATTTCCTGACAGCAGGCATCACCACCAAGCTGTATTCCATCCAACTGTTCCCCATGGCATGGTCAGGTATGGAGATGTGTGGAGTCCTGCTGACTGACGGCACTGTGCTAACTAACTCCAGGAGGTTGAAATGGCGCAACTGCCTGCTAGCGCTGAACTCTTCCATTGACTTAAGTTGAGAGACTCCGTCTATTGGTCCGATTTTATGCTCCCGACTATGTTTGTCCGAGCAGGAATTTACACCGTTTTTTTCTTTGTACTCGGTCACAGAGGAGTGGGCCCTGGATGCAACACCCGAGAGATTGCAGATAAGCTGATAGACCTAAAGGCGGAGATCGAGGATTTGGACAGACGAGAGCAGGAGCTGGACCAGCAACGAGTCTGGGTACAACAGAGCATTCAGAATGTGACGGACGATATCGAGAACAGCAGATATCCTTTGGCACAGACCTTGGTCTCCAACTCCGGGTCAATAAATGTGGAGCTAGAAAAGCACAGCGGGTCATACAGCATTCGAGGAGCGGGCTTCTCAGATGCTGTCTGACCTGTTGTGCTTTTCCAGCTCCGCGTTTATTGACTCTAGCTTCCAGCATCTGCAGTCCTTATTGTCTCCTTGGTCTCCAACTCGTCCTCTTTTAAAATCTGTGATCCCATCTTGAACACAGGCTGTGACCTGCCACCTATTGGTTTGGCATTCAATTAATGATCAAGTACTTAAAACACTCCATTTGGCTCTATCCACTTCAGCTGTGCAGTTAGACTCCCCTCAGCTCACTGAGCTGTGCTCACTAATGTCAACACAAATTTGCCCACTTCACAAACACCTCTCTGAGAGACTGAATTTCCCACAGAAGAAACACTTGGACACCTACCTCACCCTTGCTGCCCGCACTCAATTACTGCACAACCCTCCTCCCCATGTGAATGAGCAGCACCTTCTGTGGTTTAATCTGTCCTTCCCATTTCTGTTTTTTCCTTTGGTTACAATGCCTTGGGTACCTTGCCCATACACCCATCATTTACGTATAATCAGGTACTGGAACTTAGTGTTGCATGGGTCCAGGTGGGCTATTGGACTGTACATATGTTACCTCTCTGCTATCCTGTGGTCTTTAGCACTCTCCCTCGTTTGCTGCCACCCACATGCATGCAGTAGTCACATATATCATCTGTGTGTCAGCCCTCCTTTAACACAGTGGGAGGTTCAGCAATTGGTTGCCTTTTAACTGGTGCCTGACTTAGTACAGTTTCACCAACTGAGAGTGAGTGAGCTCTTGGTGTTGCCTCTCCTTAACTGTTTTTTACATTAGCATATGTGACACATGAGGATATGTGCCGATGTTTTAAAGGTAAGAAATGTGCGTTTGTGGCCACTGGAGTTCTTGGGATCTGGTTGGTGGGGTGTGTGGTGAGAGATAATACTGCAGGGCAGCTAATTGGGTGCAAGGCCAATGCAAGATTTGGGGGTGGACGAATGCAGGGAGTGAACCGAACTCTTGATTACCCTAGACAGCAGAATGCCGCCTAGGAGTTTATGTGTTTGGAATTAGAGGGGCTGGTGCTGAACTGTGTATTTTACCTACTTGATGTCACAAGGTGTCACATTGAGACCATCGCTCATACCCTTGAGGACGGTGACCAGCCACTGAGTGGTTTTCACAGCTTTTTTTATCTCCTCTCGCTCTCGCGTGCTGTCTCTCTAATAATGTCTTCTGTCTGTTTGACCAGGTGATACGTTGTTAGCAATCCAGGCACCCTCAGGCACCCAACTGGAGGTTCCCATTCCAGAAGGCGTGAGTATTGCACCTGATGACATATACTTTCACACCTCCTCTTCTCTCCTCCTGCTCCTCCCCTCGACCTTCTATTCATTCTCCTCCTTACCTCTCCCCTCATGTTTCTCCCACCCCACCCTTTGCCAAGCAGCTTGCTTGCATGTTGTTTGTGTTCTAGGGCTTGAATGGACAGAAGAAGTATCAGATCCACCTGAAGAGCACGACCGGTCCCATCAACGTTTTGCTGGTGAACAAGGACACTTCGTCCTCCTCCCCAGTGGTGGTACCCGTGCCCCCGCCTGAAGACATGATCCAGTGTACGTCAACGGTGCCTACAACCCCACAGAGGCCAGCGCTGGCCAGTAATCAGGAGGCCGAGCCGACGTTACCAACCCGGTCTGCCTCTCCGTCCACTGCCCCGGAGGTATCCCGGCCTCAGCCCACAGTAACAACACCCACAGGTGAGCGCTGCCCACAGCATTGCATTGAACTTTCAGCTTCAGGGTCAGGGAGTCAAACAATAGGCAAGGCAAGGGAATGGAACTGGTCAGCTTTAGTCAGTTTGAGTATGTTGCAAATACAGGTTCCCACCTTGGTAGGATGTGGGTCACTGTTTGTCAAGTGCATCCCATTGACTGTGGCTTGACCATCTGACCTGCCACTATGGCTACTCAGGAACGCAGCTCGATGTTGGAGCAGTAGAGTTTTTTTTTCTGATTTAAAACAAATCTACATCTCCCAGGTGAATGTGAGCAAAGTACTGTGGATGCTGGACTCTTTGGGTGAAAAATAAGTTGAAAATGCTGGGAAATTCCGAAACAGAATGGTTCCAGCTGATTACCTTTTGTCAGGTGAACTGGTGAATTCAGTGAAGTGGTGCTGCCTATCCAGGATAGTGTTGGTATCATCAAGTGTTTCCAAGAAAGTGGAGATTATTCCATCGCACTGCAGAGTTATGCCTTGTTAGTAGACAGGCACGCGGGAGACTGGAAATGAGTTTCTGCAGAATTCACAGCCATTAACCTGATCCAGTGTTTGTATTGAGGTCATGCTCTACCTTCTTTGCCAGTAATCTTAAATTTTTTAATTCTCTGATGTTTCATTTCACTTGAATTCGCATTGTGGCGATATCATGATGGGCTTAACTCCACTTTGTTTCCCTGTTCTCTTTCACCCCCTCCCCGACTCCAAAGAAATAACCATCGTCAATCAGAAATTGGTCTGATACGCCCTCAAATATATTCAGTGACCCAGTTTTCACAGTTGTGTTGGGAAGACGGTTGTCACTGTTGTATACTGTCTTGCACATATCACCATGGTGACGTGCTGCACTGAGCCTCTTAACTGTGCTATTGTGAATGAAGAAAGTTTTGGGAAATTAATTGAAACGTGAAACAAACAGCAAGCAGAATTTTCGGTATGTGTTGAATGTGAGCAGAGGTGCCCTTTGACCTACGATTGGCTGGTAGTGGCCCCTTTGGTAGGTTACTTTTACAGCAGGCTTTATCAGCCGGGCTGGATGTGAGCTGCCAACTCTCCCTTTGGGCTGGAAGAGACTGTTTTGCCTTGACTTCTAATGCCGTTCATTTCTGCTCTTCCCTGTTATTCAGTGCCAAGTGCGTCAACCCAAGAGTCCCCCAGCAACACCAGCAACGTCTTAAGCCTGGAACCTCTCAACCTGCTGCCAACACCCACCAGTCAATCCGTAACCATGGAAACACAGCCACTGGAGTCCTCAGCCTCACTGGACAGCAGCACGTCTTTATCCAATCCCACTACCTCCTTTGCACCAATCAAAACTGAACCTTCTGTGGGTGAGTTACATTTCCTGCTTTCTGGGTGACAAATGCTTTGAGGTCTTTGGACCTGAAGCTTCGAGGTAGAAACTAACTTCACAAACATTACAAAACTAATAAAGTGATATGTTCCAAAGTTGAAAAAGGTGAGCTACATGGAGCTTTTGTCAGCTGATTTTGTTAATGGTTCCATTTTCTCAACTCCCATCCCCCCGCCGCCCCAAATCTGTCATCATCACCTCCAAAGTAAACCTTTTTCTTCTCCTCTCCAACATCTCTTTCCTCTTCAAATTCGTTCAACATGTTCTCTTCTTCAAAATCCATCCCCAGAACTTTGTTTGAATCCCAGAATCAGAGGTTTCTGCCCCTGACACTATAAAGAAGCAGCTCTCACTAAAGTCACATGACATCCTATCTGGCTGTGACAAAGGTTAACCTTTTCCTCATCCTTCTCAAAGTGTCTACAGTTTTGACACCATTGACTGCACCATCTTACCCTATCCATCTCCACTCTCATCTAACTGCATACTCTCACCTAGTTCCATTCTTATCTATAGATATCATGGTCAGAGATTCACTGACAATGGCTTCTTTTCCTGCTTCTGGGGTCCCTAAGGTTCTATCCATGGGGCCATTTCCTGTTCATCCTTAACACATCTAGGTCAACCTAACTACCATCTCTTTCAACCCTTTGACTGCCTGGAAATGATCAGACTCTTTATCCAACGTCTAGTACTAGCTGAGCTAAAACTTCAAACCAACTAAATATTGGGAAGACGAAGACCAAGACCATTATCTTCAGTGGCGTGCCACAAATCTTTCCCTGGCTATTGAATCCATCCCTCTTCCTAGCAACTGAGGATAAACCAGACAGTTTGCAATGTTGTATTTCCAAAAATTATCTCTGCCCATCCCCTGTCACATTGCCTGACTCTGTCGCCGTTCATTTGGTGAAACACTCATCGCATCCTCGAGCTCCAGCCTCAATGATTCCAATTCTCTCCTCGCTGTGTTTCATCTTCCACCTTTCATAAACATCTTCAGCTCATCCAAAACTCTGCTGCCCATTTTCTGCCAGGCACCGAGTCCTGTTTTCCACCACCCCTCTGCTCATTTACCTACATTGACCCATAGTTTTGCCCCAATATCTCTGTGATCTCCATCAGCCCCTCAACCTTCCAGGATATGTGCATCCCTCCAGCTCTGGGCTCTTGGACATGCCTGGTTTTAATTACTTTGCCATTGATGTCTGTGACCTTCGGCTGCTTTGAGCCTTAATCTCTGAAATTTCTTCTGAACCTTTTCACTTCTCTGCCCCGTTGTCCTCCTTTAAAACAGACCTCAAAAATCCACTGTTTGTCGAAACCCCTCATCATTTGACCTAATAATAATTCATTAAGCAGCTTGCTGTGGAAGTCTTTTCGCTAATGATGCTTTTGCAGAAAGCCATTGGGACCTTTTTCAGTGTTAAAGGTAGTATGTATAAATGTGGGATTATGTTGTTGAATGGGCAGATATGTGCCAGATAAAATTGCTTAATGTGGGGACAAGTGAAATCTGGGAAGGGAAGTTAATGTAAAAGAAATATGGGACTTTGTAATTGACAGTAACTTAAGGCAATCTGACCATTCTCAGTGACGCTGACTAAAGCAAAGCAGAGGCTGGGATGTGCATAAAAATCAACAATGAGTTGAAATAAAGTGAATTTATGTAAATGGCTTGTTTTCTTACTGGAAAAGAGAAGGTTGCAAAATGAAATGACTACTTGTTTTAGAATCTAAGGGGATTAAATCATGTAGACCATGGCAAGCTCTTTCACCTTGTCCAGAGTGCTAGGCGCCGGTGTAGAATATAGCCTGCACTTACAGTACATTGAAATACTTCCACAGATTAGTTTACAATGAGTGAGTGGTTAATCTATGAAACAGACCCTTTGGGGAGACCATGGAAACCTGAATTGATTGATTTGTTTAAGTACAAATAGTCTTATTCAGATTGTATCCCAAAGATGCTGTATTTATGAGTGCTTTGAAATGTGATGTGATAAGTGCAGCATGTTCATAGTTTATGGTTTCTCAGCCCCTGGGATTTCCTCCCTTTGTCTAGCCCTGGTTGAGAATGATTACTTTAGGTTGACTGTGATTAGTCTATAATCTCGAGTATTGGTGCGTTGTTACAGCCAGGCCCTTGGTGCATTTCCCAATTTATGATTCCAGATGGGATACAACAAATTGTTAAGCTGATAGATGTGGGAGACTCTTCTTTATTCTTGACCCCTTCTTTATTCTGTCCTCCCTCGGATGGTCACAACAAGATTAATTTAAGAATGAATGTCTTCCAATGAGTGTACCTTTCTCCCAGATCCAGATCTGGGAAACAATGAGAGCTTAATTACGAAAAGAGAAGAATTAGTAGTGCAAAAGATATACATTAGAAATAAAAGGTGAGTCCAAATAAATGAAAAAGTCTCAAAGATATATGGATCTGTGAATTGTTCATGAAGAATGAGTTGTTGAACATTGCAACTGTTGGAGGTTATCAATAGTGTCGACATTTAGTTCTTAAACAAACATAAGAACATAAGAACTAGGAGCAGGAGTAGGCCATCCGGCCCCTCGAGCCTGCCCTGCCATTTAATAAGATCATGGCTGATCTTTGAGACTCAGCTCCACTTACCCGCCCGCACGCCATAATCCTTAATTCCTTTACTGTTCAAAAATTTATCCAGCCTGGCCTTAAACACATTTAGCGAGGTAGCTTCAACCGCTTCACTGGGCAGGGAATTCCACAGATTCTTCACCCTTTGGGTGAAGAAGTTCCTCCTGACCTCAGTCCTACATCTGCTTCCCTTTATTTTGAGGCGATGCCCTCTCGTCCTAGTTTCACCTGCTCGCGGAAACAACCTCCCTGCCTTCACCTTATCTATTCCCTTCATAATCTTCTATGTTTCTGTAAGATCTTCCTGAATTCCAATGAGTATAATCCCAACCTATTCAGTCTCTCCTCGTAATCCAACCCTCTCAACTCTGGAATCAACCGAGTGAATCTCCTCTGCAACCCCTCCAGTGCTAGTATATCCCTTCGCAAGTAAAGAGACCAAAACTGCACACAGTACTCCAGGTGTGGCCTCATCAGGACCCTATACAGCTGCAGCATAGCCTCCCTGTTTTTAAACTCCATCCCTCTAGCAATGGCAGACAAAATTCCATTTGCCTTTTTAATTACCTGCTGCACCTGCAATCCTACTTTTAGCGATTCATACACAAGGACATCCAAGTCCCTCTGCACAGCAGCGTGCTGCAATTTTTTACCATTTAAAACATAGTCCATTTTGCTGTTATTCCTACCAAAATGGATGACCTCACACTTGTCAACATTGTATTCCATCTGCCAGACCTTAGTCTAAGTAAGTGGGCAATCTATATCCCTCTGCAGACTTAGTGCAAAGTGTGCAGAAGACACAACCACTCATCTTAGTGTCATCTGCAAATTTTGACACACCACACTTAGCCCCCAACTCCAAATCATCTACATAAGTTGTAAATAACTGTGGTCCCAACACTGATCCCTGGGGCACACCACTAGCCACTGACCGCCAACCAGAAAAACACCCATTTACCCCAACTCTTTGCTTTCTACTTAGTCAACCAATCCTCTATCCATGCCAATACATTACCTATAATACCGTGCAACTTTATTTTATGTAGCAGCCTTTGGTGTGGCACCTTGTCTAATGCCTTCTGGAAATCCAGATACACTACATCCACAGGTTCCCCATTGTCCACCGTGCCAGTAATGTCCTCAAAGAATTCCACCAAATTAGTTAAACATGACCTACCCTTCATGAACCCATGCTGGGTGTTCCCAATGGGAGCATTTGTATCCAGATGTCTTGCTATTTCTTCCTTAATGATAGATTCAAGCATTTTCCCCACTACCGAGGTTAAGCTAGCTGGCCTATGGTTACCTGCTTTTTGTCTACTTCGTTTTTTAAACAGTGGCGTCACATTGGCTGTTTTCCAATCTGCGGGACCCACCCCAGAGTCCAGTGAATTTTGGTACATAATTACTAGTGCATTTGCTATTTCCCCCATCACCTCTTTTAGTACCCTGGGATGCATTTCATCAGGGCCAGGAGACTTGTCCACCTTTAGCCTCATTAGCTTGCCCAGCACTGCCTCCTTAGTGATAATGATAGTTGCTATAACCTTCTTGCCATCAGTTTTCAGCATGTTATTTGTATCTTCCACTGTGAAGACTGACACAAAATAACTGTTTAATGCCTCGGCTATTTCCTCATTCCCGTTATTAAATTGGCCTTCTCATCCTCTAAAGGACCAATGTTTACCTTCGACACTCTTTTACCATTTACATATTTATAGAAACTTTTGCTGCCTGTTTTTATGTTCTGAGCTAGTTCACTCTCATAATCTATCTTCCTTTTCTTTATAACATTTTTTGTGGCTTTCTGTTGGCCTTTAAATATTTCCCAATCTACTAGTTTCCCACTAAGCTTTGCTTTTTTGTATTTTTTTTTTTTAATACTTTCCTTTAGTTCCTTAGACATCCGTGGTTGACTATTTCTTTTCCTACAGTTCTTCCTTATCAATGGAATATATTTCTGCTGAGCACTGTGAAAAATCATTTTGAAAGTCCTCCACTGTTCCTCAATTGACCCACCATAAAGTTTTTGCTCCTGTTTTACCTTACCTAACTCCTCCCTCATCCCATCATAGTCTCCTTTGTTTAAGCACAGGACATTGGTACTGGATTTAACCTTCTCACACTCCACTTGTATTTTAACCTCGACCATACTGTGATCGCTCCTTCCGAGAGGATCCCTAACTGTGAGATCATTAATTATTCCTGTCTCATTACACAGGACTAGATCTAGGATAGCTTGCTCCCTCGTAGGTTCCATTACATATTGTTCAAGGAAATTATCGCGGATGCATTCTACGAACACCTCCTCAAGGCTGACATGACCAACCTGGTTTGACCAATCGATATGTAGATTA